GGGTGGACTCAATTATTCATTAACATATTCAAAAATAAACCTATTCTCATGAAAGTTCTCATCACACAAAAAACTTTGTCACTGTGTAAGATGATGAATGTTAATTAGACTTACTATGGTAATTACTTCACAATATATACATGTGTCAAATCATTAATGTTGTGTACCTTAAGGTAATATAATGCTATATCAATCATATTTCAATAAAATGGGGGGCCTAGTCTCAAAATATGCAAACTCTTCTACTCTTCTTATGGTTGATATCTTCCTGATATATGATGATAGATATAAAATTATAATTCTACTAAAGGCCCGGTGCATGACATTCATGCACTGGGGGGCAGGGTCCCTCAGCCTGGCCTGTGCCTTCTTGCAGTCCAGAACATGGGGAGCAGGCCTAAGCCAGCAGGCAGACATCCCCTCGAGGTGTCCTTAGCGCTACGGTGGAGGCAGGAGAGGCTCCCGCCACCACCACTGTGCTCACCAGCAGTGAGCCCAGCTTCTGGCTGACGGTCTCCCCCTGTGGGAGTGCACTGACCACCAGGGGGCAGCTCCTGCGTTGAGCGTCTGCCCCTGGGGGTCAGTGCTCATCATAGCAACTCGCTGTTCCACAGTTCAGTTGATTTGCATATTATGGTTTTATTATATAGGATGTTAGTAACAGGACAAATAACATTTCAGCTTACAAGGCAAATATTACTGGCATCTCCAAGTACCCTTTAATTACTTGCTTGGTAGAATTTTTTAAATATCCTCACTCTTACTTTCCATGTGTTTGTATGCGAGCTAGAAAGTCCCTTTTAAAGGACTTGAAAGTCCTTTAAAGTCCCAAATTCACTGTCTCATAGCCCATCTGAGTAAGCAGCTCTGCTAGGAACATACCATGCCATGTCCTACATTTTTACCTCTGAACAATAAATGCCCTAATCCTAAAAACGTACTGTTCAGACAACCACACACAACTCATCACCATCCTTCCTTCCCTCTACCGTGGAATTTTCCAGGGCCTGCCCAGCTATCCACTTCCCCTTCCTAGCCAGGGTTCATTGCTCTGGCTTGGTCTTTCCGCAGGACACAACATATAAAACCAAATTCTAAATGGTTTTTAAAACTTTTCTCACCTCATTTCCCTGACCCTTCATGGAACTACTCTAAAACTCTTTAGCGGAGTTCCCAACGCCAAGAGCAGTGTTTTCAAATTACCAGTTGCTACCATCAATTTATTGAGTCCCAAATGTCATTTTTTTCTTAAAAATAGAATAAAAAATACCAGAATGCATCACACAAAGTGTATTATTTCACAACATTTTATCATTTCTATATGTGTGCACTAGATTTTGAGATAAAACTGTGTATCTTACTATATTGGACCATTGCCCCAAAAAGCTTGAAAAATACCTGCTTTTGTTTGGCCTAGAAGGCCCTCTAACCTGGCCCCTGCATAAGGCTCTAGGTCTAGCTCTTGCTACACCCTAAAAAGCCAAGTTCATCATGCCAAACTTTTGTAGCACCGTGTCTTAGTGCTGTCAGTCACACTATTCCCTCTGCCTTGAATGCCCTCTCATTTGTCTATAAGGCCCCCTGTACTCATCTTTCATTATTTACTACATGTTACCTCTTCCACAAACACGTTATCTTTCCCTTGGCAGCTAATGACACATACACTTTGTACCTCTATGAGGAATTATAACCTATATTATAGCCTCTTAGACATTTCACTGTCCTTTTTAATTTTAGGCTTGACTGTCTTCCCAACTTCTAAACTATAGACTCCCTGAGGGAAGGAATACATTTTACTAGTCTCTGTATCAGCAGCACTGAGCCTCTGTACATGCCATAGGATAGGGGTTCAAAATTGGCAAAATGAACAAATAAAAAATTAGGGACTTGCATCTAACTTCTCCAATGTTAGAAATGATTGCCTTTGCTACAACGCATGTTCATATTGCAGTGCTGGATCAAGATTTCCTCATTTTTGCTACAATAGCTCCCAAAGAGCAGCACCCAGTAGCCTAAGGCAGAAAGAGGAGGTGTCAGCTTCCTTGCTCAGCAAAGGAACTCAGTTCAGGTTGCAATGCAGCAGCACCCACTTCCATGCTTCAGGAGGTTATCTAGGGAAAGGCGGACAAGAGGGTTTCCAGAGGTTCTCACAGGCAGGTGAGATAAATCAGAAACAGCATTATCAGACCTCCTTAGCAGGGAGAATCACGTTTTATAAATAACTCTTAGTGGAGGGTGGGAGAGGGAGAATTCTCTATTCCCATATTGATGGCACTAAATCGCCAATATGAGCTAAGCAAAACAAAAGGTAGCATGAAGTAACTCATTGAAGTTACTTGGTTTCTGTTACCTACTGTAAGAGTTCTGAAATAGCTACTGACTCACCGCTCTCATTATGAGACTACTTGGAAGACCGGGGTCATACCTAACAGGGGCTCCTCACCCAGGCTTCGAAGCTTTTTGTAGGCTTTATCTTACATACATGAATGCTGTAATTCTGGGAGGTCTGGTACACCTATTTCACAAGCCACTACTTCAACTGCCTTCAGTGTAATTAAAAACAGTGCAGGCAGCATCCAAGATACTTTGACAGACTCTGCCAACTGTCAGTTTCAGCTGTTCTTTTCTGTTTCCACCATAGTTCATAAACTATTACATGAGCCATGTTTGTTTCCGCCTAAACTAATCATTTTCTTTAAAAATAATTCCTTTTGCTTAAAGTTTGCCCCAGACTTGCAATTTTATCCATAATTAAGGCAAAGATAAATTATTATTATAACCTAACAAAAATATATTCATAAAATGTGAAGCCTCACCCATTATATTAAATTTTAGATATCTGTTAGAGAAAGGTAATTCAGGATTGCCTGGGTAAAACTTAAAGAACCATGTAAAGTTCTGTTTCCTTTTGCTTTAAATAGGTGCTGAAGACTGTGCTTATTCTACACTTATTAGGTATAAACACCCACCAAGTATAGGAACTTCTACAAATGCCTTCTCTGTATGTTCTACTTTCACTTATCCATCTTCTCTTGACAACTCTGCTTCAGTAAGTGTATTAGTAAGAAAGAGTAATAGACCCAAATATAGACTTTCAGAAAAATAATGATATAAATATTCCTTTTCCTCTCCAGTCCACCTTTAAGATTTTATTAAGAAAAGGACAAATAAATAAGTTCATAAATAAATTTAATTACACTGAAGTATCTAAAGTGTATGCTATGCGTGGGGGCTTATTTTCACATATTAACCACTAGTCCCCTTAGTATTAAGCTCATACCAACCTTCCCTTGGTAAAATGAAGAGCATTGATGCAGATTCAATGACTTTCTCCCATGATGCTACTACTCCACCATCTATTCTAGAGAGAATGCAGTCTTCAACATGAAAAAATGCCACTTGATTATTTTTTCCTCTGACATGTTTTAAACAGAAAAGTGTAGAATATCAAGAGAAGCCATATTTCCAAGGTTTTAAGTAGTATTTTTCAGTATTTTCTCTTATTAAAATTGGTGCAATTCATCCAAAACATTTTTCAAATGTCATTATTTACATACTTAAAAATTGCTTAGAGAAAACAATCTCTCCATCTGAAAGATTTACTATAAGAAACCAACTAGTAATCATCAAAACAGGAAGGAAAAAAAATTCATTTTCATAGACTACACATTTTTTTAAAACTCATCGAAGTTCTTCATTTTACAGATTAGAAAACAGTTCATACAGGTTAAGTAATTTGCCTCAGATCACAAAGCACTAGAAATAGAATGAGGTATTTTAATTGCTCTAAATCATGCAAGTTAAATATGTTCTCATCCACTGTCATTTAAATTTTAAAATTATCACTTTCTCATTAATTCCTGAGGAAGGACTCCTACAATATATGTTCTACATTTTCAAACTTGTTCAAGTTAATACACTTCAAATTCTAACTCCAACAAAAAAGGTAGTATCTAAGAACTTTCCTCCAAAAGTTTCAAGAAAGTAAGTTTAGGTGTGCACATCCCTAAAATGTCGCAATGAATTTCAAAGTATATCCTTTTGATTGCTATCCCCTGAGTACATTTTAGATGTTTGTTCAACCACCACAAAAAAAAAAAAAAAGAGAGGGAGAAAATTCTAGAAGTTTCTCTTTGACAAACAGCATCAACAATCTGTGAATGAAATGCTTAGATCATTATTCCATTAATATTTAATGGGTTTCTGGCTTAAATTAGGAAGTCACTAGCATTTTATCAATTTACTGCATGAAGAGTTAATAAAAGGTTGGAAAATGCACTCTTAGTTGACTTTGGATCTGAAAGAAGGTGATCTGACATTGTCAACACAAACTGAAGACTTGAGCTTAAAAGCAAACAACAGAAGAAATGAACAAGTTCCTTCAATAAAAAGCTCTTTTCTATTCAAGCTCTGATCTCTTACCAAGTGCATTGGCACCGTGGAGACCCCATCAGTAAGGCTTTCAGATTTTCATTTCAATGCTCCAATAAATCAATTCTGTACATTTTAACTTTGGGTACTCAAGGGCAAAGCAGAGGGCACAGTGTGGGTAACAATTTACATTGGATCATTTTCAAGGACTGTAGTCTAACCACTCATTACAATTGTTTCTTTGTGCAACTGATTATTCTCAAAGTACTGGGAGAATGCAGTACCGTACTTCTCTGAAAGATAACGGCAACAAAACCCAAGACATGATTTTGATTACAAACTGATGTGGCAGTTTGACCAGTAAAGTGCAGTGTATGTTGTCTTCTTAAATATTTCTAACGTATGTTTCTTAATTATGACCTCAGGTGTCACTGTACAAAGAAACAAGAATATCTTGTTAAAAGGTTCACACACCTATATTTTTAAAGTATGGCCAGTTTAGCAAGGTGGCAAATTTGTTTGAAAACATGAAACACAGACAATCGTCACCATAGCTCAATCTCACACACACACACACACACACACACACACACACAGGTTCAAAGCTGTGTTAAACACAAAATCCTTACCCCATTTTGCCCAATGAAAACTTGCTCTGAAGTTTCTGCTCTTAGGCTACGGAATAACTTCCAGAGGAATTTCTCCGTCTGCTATTTCGCAGTTGCTTTTCCACCCCCCGAGGTCCTTTTCTGGAGGTATTTCAGTAATGCTGACAATTCAATTAGTTCCCTTGTATAAAATGATTTCTCTCTCAGAAATACCAAAACGTTCACACAGAGGTGGCATTTGCTTATTAGAGTTAAAATGCTGCGCGGAGGAGACAGCGGTCAACTCTATTCCACAAAATGAGTCTACGTGTTGGAAAACGCAGAATCCAGCTTCACAGAGTCCTAGGAAAAATGACTTGGGTGGTCATTTCGCTCAGGTCCTCCGCCACTCTCGGAGAGGCAGGTAACTCGGTCTTTTCGGTGCTACTAAGGCTGCGGGTTCAAATTTCTCCACCACCCCAGGTCCCGGGGGGTGGAGCGTGCAACCCAATGCGACGTGCACTTTAGAGAGAGCCCTACGAGAAAATAAAAATCCTAAAAGCAGCAATGCCACTGCTTCCCTGCACTCACATTAGAAAAAGGCTATATAGAAAAATCTCCTCGAGGTGCAAACCCGGCAGCTCGCGACGTGCACAACACTCCACATTGGAATCTGTCTTTTATATATTTTTTTTCTCCCTCCTAAGACTCGGAGCCGAGAAGAGGCGGGGAGGAGGCAGAGAAGGCTGGGCAGGATCGATTCATTCTCCCGAGAATAAACGGAGCCATTTCCAGGCTGGCAGCAGGCTGGGGGCGCAGCGGGTGCCGGAGAGCAGGGGGAGGGGGCCGATCCCACCTCCCTCAGCCCCTTCCCGCCCCCCGCCGCCGAGCACAATGGAGCCCGGCTTCCGCCCGGCCCTTCATTCGCGGCTGCCCACTCTTCCCTCCTCGCCCGAGCACAGCAGGTCCGAGGCTCCCGTCGGCGGAGAATGAATGAATCAGAGAGCCTAGCCCCACGCCGCCCGGGTACCCGGCCCCCAGCGCCGGGGCGGGCCGAGCGGTGGTGGACGGCGCTGAAGGTCCACGGGCGCCCGCCCGAGCCCAGGCGGGAAGGCTAATTTCCGCGTCGGGGGGCGGGGAGCGGGACTCGAAGCCGCCCGAGAGCCGCGGTCCAGGGTCGGCACCCCTGTTCCCAGCTCTCACGCTCCGATTCGGCGCCTAGGGTGGTCCGTCCGCGG